AATTGTCTAACGTAGTGTCAAACTGACAGTTCTATGTTGTTGCCATATGAAAACGGAAAAATAGGTGGTGTCACGTTTCGCTTGCCAAACTCTACAACCCTTTATGACACATTCTGGTTACTAGATCATAAAATAACAAATATATCTGTCAATATTGAATTGTTAGGAAGACATTGCACTAATAATATTAGACTTCAGGTATATAGTACAATGGAAATTTTACGTAGAATAGCAGAATTGACTCTATTTAAGTTGCTGGAAATTTAGCATAACTTCACAATCTTCAAGGTCGCAGAATCCATAATTTAACCCTTTTAACCTTTGAAGTATAGGGACGAAAATGATTTTTTGTCTTATGGTCCCATTTTGTATTAAAAACTGATAACAGTAATTATGACAGCCTGGATAGAAATGACTAACTGACACAAATCATTCGATTGCTTGTATTGGACACGCGATCAAATTTTTGTATTGAAAGTATTATGTATTATGTATGTAATAGCATAATATACTTATAATATGCATTATTTTTTCTCATCAGACTACATTTGACTTTTTATACCTGCAACACATTATAGCGTCACCATTGGCACTCACCAGGAGATAACAAACACATCACTCAAGATGGATTCCGGATATCGAACGGAACAAATAATAGAGAGTTTTAACTACCAATAAAACTTACCTATTATTTTTCCTAAAGATATCGTGCCTAAAAGTCATTGGTTCGCTACCCGCAAACTAGATGGCAGCACAGGCGCCGGAAGTAAGAGGGGAGGTAGTGTTTTGGACCGGAAACGTCACAAAAAGGATGATGCTTGACTCAGGATGGATTCCGGATATCTTTAGGAAAAATAATAGGTAAGTTTTATTGGTAGTTAAAACTCTCTATTCTCTATACAATATGTTATAACCAAACCGCCATGATATCCGGCTCGTCCCAGAGTATATACTGCCTCTGTCACAGACTACATATATCAGAGCGCACAGAGCTACCTCTTACACAGTTTGAACTACTACAGAATGAGTTCTGCACAATTTGATCATATATTTACTTGTATTTAGAATGTTATTTTTGTCACCAATTAAATATTCAAATATCAATTTTTATCACAATATTAGGAAATCTTTAGAAATAATATTATATAGATTTATTACAATGACAAATCAAATTGTAAACAATAGTTACAATGGTAGCATTTATATTCCCCATAAAAACGTTCACCCCCCCTTTTCATCCCTTATAGTGCTAGGATTCGGGATAAAATATAATTATATAACCTGCATAACGTCTTAAACTACCCAAATACTATATTTTTTAGATATATGTCCAAAAACAAAAGTTTTCACCCTTTTTGACCCCCTTCCGTGGAACACCTCTGCATAATAAGAGGATTATGTATTAGGTATCCTCCAAATTTTAAGTCTCCACGAACAGCGGTTTATGCTGTGTGTTGTCTGTCAGTCAGTAAGTCGGGAAATCTCCTTTTATATGTATAGATAACACATACCACAGAACACTTTTACACACATACTCTGACATGGTTTTTAACCTCCTACTGCAAAAAGATAACATTACATTAACACACAACTAGCCCAGCCTGCCACCCTTATAATTTAGTTCATACTATTTATCTATACAAATAAATATTCAATAAGTGATTTCGGCTCATGTGAAAATACTTATGGCAAGCCTCACCACAGTATCTAACTGCGCATCATCGAAACTTTAATATGCGCAAATGGTGTCGAGACCGAATTTTCAACATAAATTTAAGTGACATTAATAGGGTATTTGAGACTATCGAAAAGAAGTTGCATTTTGTGGTCATCCTGATAGATAATAATCTAATAAAGCTTATTTCTTAACATCTGCAGAAAAACATGTTTCGATTTAGTAAAATAACGTAAAGAAAATGCAATATTTTTAGGAATTCATTCAACGACGAAAACGCCCTATAGATTGGTCGTCGTCTCAACCAATCACGATTCTGTTTACTGGCCTGTGACGTCATCAGCTGTCATGTCAAAGTAGTGTTAGAAGATACATAAAATATCGATGCCGATAGGTATCGAGTACTTTATAGTCATTTACTGATAGATAACAGAATACTTTGCCGCTTCTACTGATAAGAACTGCCAAAAAGAAATACAGATTGAAAGAATCATTTACTAAGCTTTTTGAAAAATCCAAGAAATAGGGAAAACGCCAGCAATTAAAAAAAATGAGCAACTTACATGTTTTTCTCATTTCTTGAACTTTAATATAATAATTCAAAATTACAAAGTCGATTTTGATGATATATACTGTTCTCCAAGTTAAAAACTAATTTTAAAAAATCCTCGGGATCTGATATCTAATTATCAAATGTCTCCCTCCGAGCTATACTCCATTCATTATAGCATTAGACAGAAGTTAAATAAGGTTCTTTTTATGGTATACTTTGTGACAAAATATAAATAATCATGTTACTCTTAACACTGACGGCTAATTTGCTACATATCCACTTAAATACCAACTGCTATACTTAACTCTTGTCATTTAAGCTATCTATTAAACAAATTTATGAGTATATGACCAGTGGCGTAGCTAGGTAACCTAGGGCCCTGGGGCAAATAAAAAAATGGGGCCCCACTGCTATCAAAACTAGTAAGGTTTTTTGAAGTAAAATCATTAAATATACAAATACTTGCAAATGCTAAGCAACTTTATCATCAGCTCTTTTTCGTGCATGGGCAGGTAATAAAACTATTAAACACTAACAACATAAATTACAATTATTGTTATACTTGGTAGGTATTGGGCAATAAAACGAAATAGAAAAGATTCAACGGATTATTATATATTTATTTATTCATAGATACGTTACACCAGCTTACTGTTATTTAACCTATCGCCATGCAAGCTAGTTACAAAAATTATCAATAGAAATATTTTCTCCAGAAGTACTTGCATAAGGCTGACTAAAAAACTTGTAAATTTTGGGCAATTTTTGTTTACTTTCTTCTATTTCTTTACGTTGTTTGCGTTTAAATGCACCACTGGGTTTCTTTTTTTTTGTCCATAATATTAGTTTTCTAATTTATTTATGCAATATTTATGTAAGATTGTACTCAAGTAGGTACTCATTGTTCACTGAAAACGTTAAAAGTAAAAAAGGAAAGCGAAACGTAATGATACGATACAAGACGTCGTTGGGGAATCCCCTGCAACCATTTTATCGCCACCAGTGTTACCACATTTGACGGTTTACAAAATGACAAAAATATCACGTAATTAATGGACGGCCCCCTACCGCATGTGACTTGTATTTTTCACGGTATTTTGAGTTATTTAGTGAGTAGCCGAAATCTATAGATTTCTTTACGTACCTATGTATACGTACTATAATCAAATAAAATTGAACATTTGTATGGACCAGTACAATGGACCAGGACTTTTTAACCATTCTCGAAGAAAAATCTTGAATCGAAGTTCACAATCGCGAATCACAAAAACGCATATCGATAAATAATAATGTGCAGATATTGATATCCGACAAATTGATGAAAACATTAATAACATTGTCAACCCACACACACAAATAATTTAGAGGAATTCCCTTTTTATAACTTTGGAATTTCTCACCATTGAGTACCCCGCCTAGCCCCTTGGTAGCTACGCCACTGTATATGACTAACTTAAATGATTTAATAACTATTACAATAAAAAGTGTTCTTCGTAAAGAACCTAAAGAAGCACGGTTGGATAGTTTCGGCACGATTCTCATGTCACTATTACTCTACCAAATTTAAAACGTTGCCTAACCCCTTTAAACGATTCGACATTTTTTAATTTTGTCAGTCTATTATTTATTCATAATTGTTAAAATCGTAATCTGGGATTGTCATCCATTGTGAATGCTGCTGCCTTTCTCGTTGTTTTGCCGTTTTTCGTGATTCAGTTATTGTTTTTTTGTTGTTAAGTTTTGTTAAATATGGACGATGCCGGTGCAGTCCCGAGTGGCCTACAAAAATTACGCTCTAAGCCCCCATACCTACCCTCAACCTTTGACATTTCAGGAAGTTTTTCCAATGTCTTCATCAATAGTCTAACTAATTACACTTACAGTTAGAATTTATCAAAACAACAGACAGATAGTTTCAGTTTTAGTTCCATGTTGGCTTGGGAGTAAAATGTTCTGCACTGCTGCTTCTATGACCCTCTTTTTTTCTAATGTTATAATGAACGGAGTATAGGTGTTGTTAGCCCGGGGACCGCGGTCTAACCGATGTAGGTTGGACGTTCTATTTATGCTTATTGGTAATGAAACTTATTCAGTGCGATTTAGGTTTCCTTGTTCATTTAGAACAAAGAAACCTTAATCGCTTTGAATTTATAATGTTTGTACTGGTACAGCGCCTTCTCGTTACTGGCTATTGAAACTTTTTGCAGTTCGTCTTGCTATCGATTGCTGTGACGATGCTAGTTTTTCCGCTATCGATTGTTGTGGCGATGTCAGTGCGATGAATTAGATGTCGCTACAAATCAGTCGTCACAGATGCAATGAAAGTAGTGTTAAGGGAGACTGCTTTGCTCCCGACCTTCTTGGTTTAAGGTCTTCTTAATTAATTTGAATTTGAATATTGACATTTGGCAATCTGTTCTGCACATGCGCGTCTATTCTAATTATAGAAAAGTCACTCTTCATAAAGCCATTGTCGATACTGGTCTTATTTTACAAAGTATATATTATTTTTTGGTGTATTTAAATAAACGTATGTGACTTAAAAGCGCCCTGGTCTTTCTCTTTACCCTTTTTACCATCGGGTATCAAGTTACAAACAACTACAAACACATCTCCATTTTATATATTTAAGTAATACTGTAATCGATTAATCGAGTCGTATAATAATCAAATTGGCACATCATCAATTTAAAGTCTATGTTCTCAATGCAGACCCGAGTCCCGACACCGGAGCAATAAACTTAGTAAAACTGATAAAACAAAGCTCAAACTTTAAATAAAATAAAATTAAAGGGCAAAACTTTTTATTACTTTATCTTAGAAAAATACTGTTTACTACATAAAGACCCTGATCACGGTCCGTATATAGTAAATCATGAAATCTGCTTACAACAAAGTCAGCAAAATCACTAATGAGAAAAAAAATAAAATATTAACTTTCAAAACAAGTCCAAGACAACATAAGATAACCTAAAATTAAACCATTCCTACTACCTCGCACTTTGTCAACGTCTTGGAATTTAATGTAATTAATATGTCTGAATGGGAATTTTCGTCTGATGGTCTTGAACTAGTTACGCAATTTAATTTAATAATTGGTATCACATACGGCGACTGTACAATTACTAGTACATATTACCACCTACACAGATTTGCTTAACTTTAAAATTATGAATGACACTTTTATAATACTTTGATAATTTTGCTAATACTTTTGTAACTTTGTTCTTAACATTAATATCACAAACATAATCACATTGTCAATTATTTAAAATAGAAACTATTTTATCATGTTATAATTTTATACTACATTATTACTACTAACCGTGGCCCGGATGCCTCTTGGAATGATTAAAACCTTGCGATAACCATTCATAATCGCGCCCGGGATCGATGGGATAAAGCTGGCATGACAGATCTAGATTAGTGTACACATTATTTAAAATAAATAATAAATAGAGTTACTAATAAAAAAGATAAAGTACCTATTAGGTGATCTGTAGAAACAATTTCACAATTTTTGAGATAAATAAATAAACTAAGCACTCATTAAATTCACAACAGACAAAGCAGACATCTACTGCTCTTTCAAAATCAAGTCGAATAGGATTTAAATAACTTTATACCTTTTAACATTACATAAATTTGAGCTAAAAAAAATTAAAAGCTATAAAATTTTTAGAAGTTGAACAGGAGATTCTTTTATAACCTTTTCTTTGTCCATTTGCTTCATATAAGCCAAGAAACAAGTCCATATGAGGCTGCAAATACTAATAAAAGGAACTCTGTTTCGTGGAGGAATTACACAGAAGTTGATCATAGCTACAGCAGGCCAAACAGTAGCACCAACCTGAAAATAAAATATAAATTTCTGGGATTTAACTCATTTCAAAGATAAATTGATTCACATTTGTTGTAAATACAGATCAGTTTCTAATATAGTTTATTTTTTGCTTCTGAAGATGTATGTAGTATAATAATTCAACAAATACTTATAGAAGATTAAAAGGTTGTCTTAACACATTAACACAGTCAAATATTTAAAAGAAATATAAAATTAAAATAAATTAATACAAACCTTGTAAGTGGGCAAGAATTTTGCATTTACTTCAGCAAGAGCTTCATGGAAAGGTTTCATCTCTAAAAGACTCATACCAAAATAAAAGCTGCACATAGCAAATGGTGTATAAGTTAAAGTTTCAACTAAAGTCTGCAAACAAAGTAAAATTATATATTAAAATGTACTACCATTAAAAACTTTGTAGCCTTAAGGCTGACAACTTTCTAAATTAAAATACTGAATAGAAAATTTTATCATAATTCAATAAGTAAAGCCATATAAAACTTTCATTGTTTCAAAATTGATCAAATTTAATACAGGAATTAAAATTTCAAAAAGGAATTAGTTATTATTGCTAACACTCTATTTCATACTGGATTAGATTTCATGATGTTTAGTTGAAGGTAACAACTATCAATAACATATTGAATTTATATTGACATTATTACTTAAGTGTAAAATGATTTTTATGTTTCTATTTTCACTAACATATTTAAAATGATCGATAGATTTTCAGTTGCAAATAAGCTTCTCTACATCAATGATTCTTACTTTTATCAAGCCAGCTTTTATAGTATTACCAGGCCACATCACATTAGCAACAGTCAACCAACTATACAACGTAGGGGCCACATAACATGATCCATACAAACCATATCTAGCACATCGCCACCAATCATAAGTGTCTGAAAACAACAGATTGTCAACAGAAAATTTATATGATTGAAGTGTAAAAATATTAATTACTACATCATAAAACATGTTAATATATATATTTAATACCATTAAAAAAAAACGTTAATTAAGGACATACCAATATTTTTTCCTTCAAAAGATTGTTGTATGAGACTTGATATTGGCCATATTATGGCATAAGATGCCATACCACGTAGAAGAGGATATTTCTTGAAAGCTACTTGCAATTTGCTCAGGGCGCCCATAGTTAATCAATTACTAAATCACTCTTCACTATATTAAGAACGATAATGAGTAATTATTTCTGCACGAATGTATTGCGTAAGTGTTCGAAAGTATATGAATCGTAAAGGAAAAACCAAGAAACATACCGTGACCTTACTTACAGTAAGGAAACGTCATTTGGATAGTTCATAAATAGTTATTTTTGATTTAGAGCCAAGTTCAACGAAGTATTTTAAATATGTGATTCAAACATAAACACAAATTAAAAAGTATATATATACGAAAAAACCATCACGAAAACATCACAACAAAAAGCGAAACAATTTATACAATTATGTAAAACAAAATATAATTAAAGTAAACATGCTGATCATGAAAATCATGAATCACACAAAGTGTATACGCTTATGTATGTGTATCACAGATGTTTATGTACATGCAGTTTGCAAGTTCGTGCCATCTTTTTTATTCATAGCTTATTTGCGTTTACACAATTCCGCTAATGTCACGTTCGTGGTCTTTACACGTAGGATAACTAAGAATTTTAAGGTAAAATGTAAAACAAAAAAGTCTTTCTGATTACATTGTCAAAGGCGCTTGGCAATTTGCACATATTTAAATTCTTTATAAAAATTTGCACATATTTAAATTCTTTATAAAAATTTGCACATATTTAAATTCTAATTAATTAAGTGCTATTTAATAAAGTGCTTCAGCGATCGAACACGGTGATGCTACAGGCCTCCTAGGGCTCATAAAGCTTTATTCGACTTATACTTATCACGGAAACCTAAGTAATTTTACCATACCACGTAGTCATTCATCGTCGATATTTCAACATAAGGAGTCTTGCAGCAAACCAATCATTCACAACAATAATATGATTTCCATCATAAATTCACGACAAATGAGTTTAATATCGATATGAGAACGAAAGTATGAAAACTCAACCAACGGAGCAAAATTAGGAATACCCATTTTTTTCACTTGGCTCGCTTTTCAGATGCGCGTACTCTGTCCTGTTATATAGTAATCAGTTCATGATGGAAAAATACTTTACCAAGACTACCTACCTTATATAAAAATGCTTTTCCTGATTTAAGCCTTATTTATTTATACTATACTTTACTCTTTGGCTATTGGCTTTACTCTTTGTTAAAGTCTGATGACCACTGATGACAGACATCGCTTTTTGTAAACTTTGTAATAATATTATTCCGGATGTCAAAACGGTGTGTTGGTTGATACACGTCTTTTTTGTGTTCTGATTATTTTAATCATTTTGCTTGCTCTTTGTTGTGCTATCTCGCTATTTTGTTGCTGTGGATTATTACCTGTTTACGTTTGTATATTTATTTAAGTGCTTAATTAATATTTAATTTTGTTTTCTGTATAAGCAATGGACCGGGTTCCTCCGGATCCTCCGGATCCTCCTGATGGAGAGTTGGAGTTGACTCAATCTCCGATGGAGCTATCACCACCAATATTTAGCCAATCCGGCACAAAACGACGTATTGAATTCGAAAATCAATGTGAGCCCATTAAAAAAGTTATTACTGATTCTTTGAAGTTGCAACAAAATGAAATTAACATAGTTTCAACATCAACAAGTCAATCAGTATATACACACCCGTCATTAAAAGAGGGTCATAAGTCTTATTCTGATCTTGATAAGGGCCCATTTATTATACATGTTTCAAAGATTGAGTCAAATCCTTCAACTGGAACTACTATTCGACCAATTATTTTCGGGCAATTCCTAAAGCAAAACAAAATCACCAATATAGTTAAGGATGGTGTCAAAAAAATTGGCCGCAACCGTATTGCTGTTGAATTTAAAACTGGTAAGGATGCTAATAACTTTTTAATTAATCCTTTATTAGCTCGTTACAATTATACTGTAGTAATTCCTACTTTTAATGTTACACGCATGGGTGTCATTAGAGGCATTCCAACGGAAATATGCATGGACGAGCTGGTCGACTCTTTAGTTATTCCTGATTACTGTGGGATGGTTCTAAAAGCCAGACGCCTCAATAGAAAACGAGTTTTAGATGGTCATGCTTCTTGGATCCCTACCCAATCAGTTGTTTTAACATTCAAAGGACAAAATCTCCCTGAAAGAGTTTTTTCTTTTTATACCTCTATTCCCGTTATCCCATATCAACTTCCAATTATCCAATGCAACAATTGTTGCCGTTTTGGACATATTAAATCTCAGTGCCGATCTAAACCGAGATGTTATCGTTGTGCGCAGCCGCATATGGGAGAGAGTTGTAATGTTACAGAAGATATTGCTTCGTGTTTATACTGTTCTGGTAAACACTTTGCTACGAACAAGATCTGTCCTGAACAGTGTCGCCAAAAGTCGATCAAAATTAGAATGACTCAAGATAATATTTCTTTCCAAGAAGCTTCTGCTTTATATCCCAATGTAAGAAGGTTGTACTCTGAGTCAGTAAATTCTTCGACTACAACCGTACCTCAAATTGTGCATTCTCAACCCTCACCTCTGACTTCTCGTTCTTATAAAAAGACTGTTTTCCTCTCTCCTCGACAACATTCTGCCCTGGGGAAGGAATATGACAAGCAGGCTCACCAGGACATAATTAGGAATTGTCCTCCAACTCTTCCTAATGGATGTGCCCTTGGTAATTCGAGCACTAATGATATAGTTCCGAATGATGATTGTCTTGATCTTCTGTGGTTGCTTGTAGCTAATATTTTGTCGAAATTCAGTGACGTACCATTACCGCCCAACGTAGCTCCGAAAATTTTACCTCTTTTAAATTTATTAACCAAAAATGGCTCCTCTGAATATAATTCAGTGGAACAGCAATAGTATTCGTTCTAAAAAGCATGAAATCCAATATTTTATATATAAGTACTCTCCTCTTATTTTTGCCATTTCGGAGACGTGGCTTCCTAGGAATATTTCTTTCAATATTCCTGGATATCTATGTCTGCGCGATGACAGAGATGATGGTTATGCAGGAAGTGCTCTCATTATTAGTAACTCCCTACTATTTACTCAAGTCCCACTTCCTATTCATAATAGGGATCTAATTAATGCTGTTGCTGTTAGAATAAATAATATTTCTTTTCTTTCGTTATATATCCCACACCCAAATGTATCTGTTTTATTGGAACTCCGGGTAATTATTTCTGCTTTACCACCGCCTGTGCTTATTTTGGGTGATTTCAATGCTCATCATGAGTCATGGGGCTCCTATCACTCCGATACCTTTGGCAGTTTAATTATTGATTTATTAGATGAGCTGGACTTATGTGTTTTGAACAATGGTAGACCTACAAGGAGAAACTCCCCATCACAGAACCAGAGTGCAGTTGACTTATCCATTTGCTCTTCGCGTCTATCTTCCCTTTTTTTATGGGATGTTTTAAGTAGTACCTTTGGTAGTGATCACTTTCCCATTCTTTTAACTTTACCTGACCGTACGCTCACAACATTCAGTAATACTCCCCTTTTGAAATTTGATTTAAATAAAGCTGATTGGACATGTTTTTCTTTAGAAGTTAAAAATAAATTAAATTCATTACCTGAGATTTCCAATGCAAGTTGTTTGACTGCATATGAAGCCTTCACGGAAACTCTTCTCAGTTCTGCCAATTCTCATATTCCCACGAAATCAACGATACGTAAAAGAAATTCTCCACCATGGTGGGATTCCGAATGCACAGACATTATCCGTAAGAGAAAGGAAGCAGAGAAGAAATACAATTTGTCTATGACTGAAGAAAACTTCTCTCAGTACCAACAAATAGCTGTTCACTCCAAAAAATTTTTATCTCAAAAAAAGAAACTTGGTTGGACTAGGTTTTGCGAAAGCATGTCTCCTCGCACTTCCGCAGGCATGGTTTGGAGACAAATGAATCGATTTCGTGGTTCTATGAGGTCAAAATCTGTGTCAGCTAACGATCCATCAGGATGGGTTACCGCATTTGCTGATAAACTCGCTCCCTCGTTTGTTCCGAACTATGACTATCTTCCTATAAAAACATATGACATCATCCCATCTGTTGGTAATTTAGATAATCCTTTCACCTTGCGGGAACTTGACTTGGCACTTGGAGGTCTTAGAGATACTGCCCCCGGTATAGATGGTATTCCATATTCGTTTCTTGTTAAGTCGAGGGAAGAAACCAAACTATATTATTTGAAATTAGTTAATACCTTTTACCATTTAGGTATCATCCCTGAATCCTGGAATAAGCAACTAGTTATCCCTCTGCTTAAACCTGGCAAAGACCCTTTGGACTATAATTCTTATAGGCCCATTGCATTATCGTCCACCCTTTTCAAAGTGTCAGAACATATGATCAGGAATCGTCTAGAGTGGTTTTTTGAGAGTCAAGGTCTTTTGGCTAAATCTCAGTTTGGTTTTCGAAAGGGTTTCAGCACTCTGGATAATTTAAGTATACTTACGACTGATATTCGTATAGCTTTTAAGAAAAAGCAATATGTAGTTGCTGCGTTTTTAGATATAGCAGGCGCCTATGATAATGTCCTTCTTCCAATTCTCAGACGTAAATTGATTCAGTTGAGTGTTCCTGAGAAGTTGGTTCGATTCATAATTAATTCTATTTCAGCTAGATCTATTGAAATCAAATGTCATGGAGCGCCTTCTATAGTCAGGTCTGTTTGGTATGGTCTACCTCAAGGGTCGGTTTTGAGTCCCCTGCTATATAGTATTTATACTTATGACCTAGAGAGCGTTGTAGATTCATTCTGTCAAGTCTTACAGTATGCAGATGACGTAGCCCTCTATATAAGATCGAATTCAATCGAGGAAGCTTGCTTTCGTCTCAATACTGCGTTAAGTTATCTTGGTGATTGGCTAATGGATCACGGCTTGTCACTATCAGTTTCTAAATGCTGCAGTATAGTGTTTACCAGAAAGCGTAACATTCCTACAGCTCAAATAGTTTTTCAAGATGTCCCTATTCCCATGAATAACCAAGTAAAATTTTTAGGCGTTATTCTAGATTCTAAATTATCAGGAACTCCTCATTTCCATAGTGTTGTAAATAAATGCGAGAAAGGGGTCAATGTTCTCCGTGCTCTTTCGGGTGTATGGTGGGGTGCTCATCCATTCACTCAAAAATTAATATATAATGCCCTAGTCCGCTGTCATTTCGATTATGGTTCCTTTCTTTTAGACCCATGTAATAAGTTGCCACTTGATAAAATTTCTAAAGTTCAATCTAAATGCTTGCGGATTATTATAGGTGCCATGAAATCGTCTCCTATCAATAGTCTCCAGATCGAATGCGTTGATCCCCCTTTGTATCTGCGTAGGCAATTTTTGAGTGATCGATTTTTCCTTAAAGTTATACAACGTGCATCCCATCCTTTACTTAAAAAATTAGAAATATTGTTGAAAGTTTCTAGTACTTCCTCCAGTTCATCGGTAGGTGTCTCTTGTATCCTCCATAGCTACAAAAAATTCCATACTCCTTCCCTTCCCATAGAACGGTATTCTCGTCTTCCTCTTTTTGAAAATAGCTTTGAATCACTTATTTTTGAGCCGATCATTCTTCTTGATTTTGGAATCGACAAAGACTCTCCATATGCCATGCGTACAATGGCACGGAAATTAGCATCGGAATATAAAGGCTGGATTTCTATGTACACTGATGCGTCCAAGCAGCATGTTAATGATCCAGTTGGATCAGCAGTATGGATTCCCGCTCACAGATTAGTATTAAGTTTCAAAATTCCCTCTCTCTCTTCTGTATTTACAGGAGAAGCTTTAGCTCTCCTTGAGGCCATCCTATTTGCCGAATCTCATAACTTTAACAAAACTATCATTTTCACAGATTCACAGAGTTGCTTACAGTCTATAATATCACATCCGTTTCGTTCTAAAAATAAATTTCCAATAATATTTAAAATAAGACAAGCATTGCATAGGTGCCATCTTAAGAAGCTGCTCATTACCCTCGCATGGATACCGGGACATTGTGGTATTCCTGGGAACGAGACAGCTGATGCATGTGCTAAGCAAGCTGTTATAACTGGCTCTTTAAAATATTCCAAACTTTTTCATCACGATCTCTTTGTACTAGCACATGAACATTTAATGAGGTCATGGAATGTTGATTGGGAAAATACTAGAAATAGAGCGGGAAAGTATTATTTTGAAATTCAGAGAACTATCCCCAGTACTCCCTGGTTCTTTAAGGAAAAGCTTTTAAGTAAAAAAACGATTTCAATTATTTGTCGCCTGAGAATTGGACATGTGTGTACGCCGGTTCGACTTGCCAAATTTAAAATTAAAGACAACCCCCTCTGCGATTGTGGCATTGAGGAAGGAACTACGGATCATATTTTATTTAATTGTTCAAATTTATCCATTTCGCTTTATGATTTGCTACCATCAAAAGTTCCACGTCCAACAAATATAAAATGTATCTTGAGTATGGAGAATCCCAGCCCATTCAAAATTTTAGCAAAATTCTTTGCAATCAATAATAGTCTTAATTTATAAATATATTTGTTTTCTATATACATTCTATTTGTATTATCTTTAACAATGTAATCAGATAGACGCGCTCAGAGCTATTTTTTTTATTTTATTGAAATTCAAAATTTTACATATTTTATTATTGTTTCTATACGTGTAAAGACCACAAACGTGACATTGGCGGAATTGTGTAAATGCAAATAGGCCATGAATTAAAAAAGAAGAAGAAGAAGATATTATTCCGTTTACAACTTGAACTGTCCAGCGATCTGATTTTATGAGAATGGAGATTATGACTACGTGACTACTTTTAGTCACCACTTTGTGTTATAACAGTACATTATTGAATGTCATGGTGGCTTAGTTTCAAAATGTCTAGTAGTAGTTCTTTGCTTTTTTCCATCAATAATGAAGGCAAAGTGTATGCTTTATCAACCGGTGGATCTTGCTGGAGAGAATTTATGTACCTCGGTTTAGAATTTAAAACTTTATCTGCAGTGCCTCATTTCTTATGGGCTGTCGGAGGTGACCGGCAAATATATCTTCATGTGCACGGTTTGGAAATTCCTATTCGGGTCAAAGAAGAATCATATGAAAACGAGAGATGGTTACCATTAGAAGGATTTAGCGGCCGACTGCTTCCTACAGATAGATATCATTTTTCGTCACAAGATGGCACAAAGGACAGATCTATTGATCGTATACGTTTACCGTCCATGGCGTGGCAGTGGGAAGGAGATTGGCAGTTAGAATTGACATTAGATGGACAGCCTCTTGACCACGATGGCTGGAGCTATGCAGTTGATTTCCCTGCACAGTTTAGTCCAGTCAAGCAGTGGAAATCTTGTGTTAGGAGGAGAAAATGGATAAGATATCGAAAATTTAGTGCAATGAATTCATGGTGTGCCATTGCTCCTCTCCATAAAGACCCAACCCAAGAGCCTTTTATTGATGTTAGTATTGGTGGAAATGAAATCCCATATGCTCTTCCTGGATCACTGTCAGTATGGTCAATAACAGCTCATGGTAGAGTCATGTACAGGTCTGGAGTGAGCACAACTTCACCTGAAGGCTTGAAATGGATAAATGTTAGCATTCCTCCAAACTGTGATATTAAACAGATATCTGTTGGTCCTACTGGTCTAGTCTGGGCTTTACTGTGGACTGGCCGAGCAATTGTAAGAAAGGGTATAACTAAAGATTGTTCCACAGGTGATGGTTGGCTTGAAGTGAAATCACCTAATGAAACAAGACTTTCTGTCATATCCGTGGGATACAATGCTGTATGGGGTGTGAGTTCTGATGCTAGAGTATGGTTTAGAAAAGGCATTGATGGAAATTTAGCAGGATCTTCTGAAGCAGCTGCAATGGGAAATGGTTGGTTAGAAATCACAGGTAACATGATTCATATTTCCATTGGTAGAAATGACCAAGTGTTTGCTATTGGAGAAACAGATAAAGCTATTTATTGGCGTAGTGGAATAACACCTTCAGAGTTGACAGGAAAACGTTGGAGGATGGTACAGGCCAATATGCAACTTAGCCGTACTTCAAGCTCAGCCAGTGTTATATCTTCCGCTTCCAATCCTAAGCATCACAGCTTAAATACCCTTAGTGAAACAGGCCCTGAGCTTAAATCCAATATTAAACTAAATAATTCTTGGGAAGAGTCCCATTCTGCTCCCATTGAACATACTTTACCAGTAAAATCTATTAAAGAGAGACATTCAAAAGGCAATGCCCATGTTGAACATGTTGATTTAACTGGCAAAAGCTATGAAACTACACTAAAAAATCCTCGTGCTTGGAGCCCAGTTCGTAGTGTTGGATCAGTAGTTGGTATGGAAGCCCAGCCTGATAGTGATAGCAGTGTATTTGATGTTGATTCAGGTATGTACTTTGATGAGGAGATTAGTCAAACGGCATGGGGCACATGTGATACTACATGGGTATTTGTTGATGCTGGTGCATGCTGTGTAGACACTGTTCAGATTCCACATTGGTTTACTGATAATTACAAATCCCATAATTTAGACTTGACTACTAAATGGAGAATTCAAATTTTAGAGAGTCTAAAAAACCGAAATCAAGGTTATGATGTATCAAATTATGGTATTGCAATAGAAGAAAAAGGCTGGACACGCAGTTGTGAATCGAGATTGATAAATGCTAACAATACTGGAGAAGATTGTATATTATCTCTTTATTGGCATGCCTTAGAAAATATAGGGACACTTTCAGTGTTTCAACCAGATGGAACAATAAAGTTTATATTGAATTTAGGTGAAGTTACAAGCGTGTTTACTTCATCTGAACCTGGATGTCCAAGAATAACACTGCTTGCTTCTAGACAACATAAAGATGGTATCAAAATTCAGTTTATATCTGAAATGGAACAAGAAGATTGGCTCTGTGTGCTAGTGGATATAACATCACAAATAAATGGACTATCTGGAAAGCCATCTCCTAATTCTTTATGGGCAATCACTAATTCAGGAGATATAATTAATTGGGATCCAAAAGCAGCACAATTAAATTCTGACAGTAATGGTATCTATACCAAAGAATTTCAAGTTTTTGGGAAAGATATTTTGTCTGGATTCTCAACTAATTTGAGTAGTAGTTTTCCACATGGCAGTTTATTAAAAGTTACAGGAAGTTTAAGTGATGACATTAAAAGATTTCATATAAATTTACAAGGACCAGAAATAAAAAAACAAAGGCACAAAATAGAGGTGGAAGTTTCAGAAATTCCTTTACATTTCAATGTCAGATTTGATGAGTCAACAGTTGTGTGTAATACCAAAATATTGGGTACTTGGGGATGTGAAGAACGCCATGAATTACCACTTGCACCAGGACAAGAATTTAGTATTAAAATTGTATGTCAAGAACAGGGTTTTAAAATAGTTGTTAATGACAAGAGCTACTGTTTTTTTGAACATAGGCTAAATCCTGAAACTATAACGACAGTATCAGTAAAAGGATCTTTGAAACTTTATTCCATGGAGTATTATACAACTAGCATCATTATTGATCCAGAGGAGATGATTTGGCGTGTTATGGGTGGATACTTACGCAAAGTTGAATGCTGTCATAATGGCATTGTTTGGGGAATAAGTCATGATCACAGAGCTTGGGTATACACTGGAGGATGGGGAGGGGGTGTTTTAAAAGGTTTGTAACTTATATTGAAAAAACTCAAATCAAAATACATAACAGACAGTGGTATTAGAATTCTGATTCATGTCTTCATGTGTCAGATGATCCATATATTTCATACAATGAATCTTAAAATTCCTTTCTTTTGCTTCCTTCAGTGCATTCCATTCTGATAGGGATATGATTAGAGTACATTTAATACAATATTCTTCACTATTTTCTCATAAAGCCTTATGATTTGAAATAAGGGATTTAGAGCTTTGATGCTCTACCATCTCGCATGGTCGGTGTAATAAGCGTTTTCTGAAAAGGAGAGAGGCAGACTTGTCTACATATAGTACAAGTACTAGTAGGATAGACCACAAGAAGCAAATTGGATTTAGTACTGCCAATGTTACATAAGATATATCTATCAGCATTATACGTTTATATATGTGCAATCCTCCTACCACTGTTCTACGAGTACTGTATCACGGAAGTCATAATATACGAAAAGCAAAAGGGAACAATCTTACTGAATATGAGTTATGACAAAAATTATTCACCACTCATTCTTCAACCTATACTAAATGTTTCTAGTGACAAAATAAGACTATAAATTCAGTTATACATAAATCATTTAATTCTATCATTGATTTAACAAACTTCTGTATTTTTATGATATAATAATACGTTTCGCTTGAGATATAATAACATTTTATATTGAATAAACTACCTAACTTATGTATATGAAATATTACAGCAATAAGTTCCAAGGAAGGCATTAATTCCATGACAGATACACAAACATATTGTGTATATGAAAACCAGAGATGGAATCCTCTCACAGGCTATACATCGACTGGTCTTCCTACAGATCGCTATATGTGGAGTGATATAACAGGAAAGCATAAGCGAACACGAGAACATACTAAGTTACTTAGTCGTCATTGGCATTGGGTTAGTAAGAGTTATTGAATAAATGGAAGATAGCTTATATGTATGTTTGGCTAATTAATTTCATGTAAGTTTACATAGTGTATGAAAAGGACAGATCCTATTAAAATTTTAACATTGTCTATGATAAATTAGATAAAATAGTTTATAATAAACTAATGTTTTTTTTTACTGTACACAAAGTACATCAGGTACACAGTATTACAATTTTTTGCCGTTAATTTGAAACTCTACACCCAATGCATTAAGGTTTAAGCAGGCCCCACGCAACTGCTCTCATGGATACGGGATCCGCCCTATGACAACACGCCTTCTCAATCGTTTTTTATAAATACGTCTCCAAAATTAGTGGCTAATGCAGCTTAAATTTAATTAATTGTATCATCGATGAAAAACAACTCGTCTTCGGTTATGGAAATCTAATCTTTACAAGATAAAACAAGAATATCTTGTAAAGTTCATAAAGCACTAGAATTAACTTGCGTCTTGTTTTACTCGCGTCTACAAAGACCAGCACGCGTAGCATGACGAACTCGAGAACGTTCCGAAACTGACAAATGAGTGTAGACAAGACGTTTCTCGAGTTTGTCATGCTACGCGTGCTGGGCTGACAATCATGTAAAAATCATAGATCCAGCACGCGTAGCATGACGAACGCGAGAACGTTTTGTCTACACTCAAATGTCACTTTTCTCGGGTGCGCCCATACGATATCTCACTCTCAACCCGAGAAACTGACAAATGAGTGTAGACAAAAGTGTTTCTCGAGTTTGTCATGCTACGCGTGCAGGTCTGATGAACATTATATGTGCACTATGATGCAACGTATCCACTAAGTAGGGCAGTTGCAGGAGCGCAGAGCGTTTAATCATGAACATAGTGGGTATCCTTTATGTGCCTTTTGATTTCTAGAAAGGAGACGGCATTATTTGTTTCAGATATCTGAATGGATGACCGATTATAATACTCCAGGTGGTGTAGACAATGATGGATGGCAGTACGCAACAGACTTCCCAGCGCCGTATCATGGCAAAAAATTGTTTACCGATTGCGTTCGACGCAGACGTTGGTATCGGAAAGCTCAAATTATCACGGAAGGTCCTTGGATTCGTGCGGGGGGCACTGCTTTGTTGGACATATCTCTATGGGTAATTTTCACTTATCAATGGCAATATCAATTACAAATGTACATACAGCAGCACATCATATTGCTATATAAGGCATTTCTGTTATTATCTAAATAGTAAAGTAACGAAGTAGCAATTTTTCGATATTTTAATAGGATAATGTTACGTACGCTGTTAATATGATGCATATCAGAATTGTTTTGCTATTAGTTTTTATTCTTATCCTTAATTGTTTTAATATGTATCATGTGGTTGTACTGTGCAAATAAATAAATAAATGAACAGATTAAGGTTTGACATCGTTCACGGAAGTCTGCCCTTTAATTTATTTATTGAATTTCATTAACCAATTAAAGTATGACATACACGCTGTTTTCGCGCGACTTCGCACGCTTTAATTATAGCATATGTCAACCCCGTATGATGTAGTAAGAATTTTTAGTAGTACTAGAAAGAATTTTTAAAATCAGCCTAGTAGTTTCAGATCCAATTCAATGCAAACAAACAAACATACAACCGAATCTTTCAGAAATATATAAACCTCATCAAACTTTTTATTTCAGAACAATGATGATGAAACTTTGGTTTGGGCTATTACTCTGGGAGGTGAAGCGATTTATCGAACTGGTGTAACTACAAATACTCCTGGGGTATGTAATTTTTATGTCCATTGAAACAAAAACGAATACATGTTTATGCCATTATCGAAATTGTTATTTTTAGGGTGTCCACTGGGAACATGTAAATAGCTCTCAATCATTAATTGCTATAAGTACCTGCAATTACTTAATTTGGTCAGTGGGGCGAAAGGGGGAGCTGTATTATAGAGAGAATTCATGCAAAGAAAATATAGCAGGTTCAAGCTGGAAGTTAATAGAAGCACCAAAATATAACACTTACAATCAAAAATCCGTTGGAGTCAAGACTGTATCGCTGACTAAAAATTTTGCCTGGGTATTACTCTCAAATGGTGTTCTCGCTGTTCGAACTGATATAAGCACAAGCCACCCCGATGGAAAACAATGGAAATATTTGTCAGGTACAAAACAAGTTTCATTTTGACAAGTTAAGGATTTTTGTATCACTCTAATACTTATATTGCCTCCTTTTTTATGTAAATCCTAATTTTAGGGCAAGCCTTGCACAGATAGCAACGCCATTTTGTAGACACAGTAAACAAAATGGCGTTATGCGCTAGCAATAACTATTTCTTTCCGTTACTTTATCTCTATACAATAACACGAATTCATGATGACTTATCCAACGCATTTTTTTTAGAATGCGATATCACATTCAAAGCCTTGTCAGTGATGGAGCAGGAAGTGTGGGCGGTAAGCACAGACGGTGGGCTCTATCGTAGACTCGGCGTGTCGGCAGACAGTCCTACTGGCAATTCCTGGCAACTTGTACATTCCGGACCTATAGTTCACGTTTCAGCGAGGGCAAGCTCATTACAGTAGAGAGACTACGTGATTATTTATCGCCAAAGAACAAACAATATCACCAAATTATTTTGTAGACTATTCCTTAGTACGCATCGGTATTGTACAGTGACGTCAGAGAACTTTAAGTCACATATGTGGTGACTGTTTTCACCAATTTTTAAACATTCCAATACTGAAGCGTCTTAAACTGAGGCTAACTTAAATAGTTACTATGTGAATTAGTAAAAATGAACTGTTGACATTCCTCGAATATTATAATTTACTTCTAATTTGATATTATTAAGAAGTTTAAAGCTTTAAACGACTGCTTATATTCTAAAGATATATTCCTTTGCTGTCTAATTAGTGCTGTGATTTCGCTCACTTCGTCATATTTAAATTTTTTACTGGAGCAACAAAACGTAGGTAGAAAAGTATTTTTTATTTAATTTTAACAATTCCAAGTATTATGTAAATCGGTGTGCAAAAAATTTATAATTTTCTAGTCATTAAATCTTCTTACTATGTATGAAATAAAAATGTATAGTCTTATGCTATTTTAAAAAAATATAAAACTTATATCAATATAGCCTTAAGTATTACTTGTTTATATTTTTTTACACTAATTTATTCTTTCCTTTTAAAATCCAAGCTTGTTCTATTTATTTTTATAGTAAGTTAAGTTTTCTCTATACAATTTTTTTCTTTGAAATCATCAATATGTACCTAATGAAGGGTCTGTCTGTCTGTCAGAAGGTGTCTCTCGGGACACATTTTACTCTTTTTTTGATGTACTTAAACATATTTTTGTAGTTAACATAACACTATACAACACTATACAACACACTATACAACACTATACAATAAATATTAACAGTGATATAACATTTAATAAGTTAACTCTAATTACCAGTAATTCACATGTTTGGATTGTTATTCACATGATGTTTTTCACAAATTTCCATGTTAAGATCATGACGGTATGGTACTGTAACGGACGGGACATTCCTTAAAATCCAGGTCATTATTTATGTATTCTTTCCATTTGCTACTCATGCATAACACATTTTATCATAAACAAACATTTATGGGGTCAAAACTAAAAAAATATATATAAAAATGTGACGATAGGTCAAAATTCTCATTACATTAAATATTTTATATTGCCTAATATCAAAGACAGTTACTTACCATATTGTGTTGTATTTTATATAGTAAATCTTTATTAATATCGGAATTTGCTCAAGTCAATAACACACAAATTCACAAAGAAAATGACTAAACTATGTACTTTTGAAATTAGAGATAATTACTATATTAATTGATCTTGACTCTTATCTGGTGTTACTTTTGAGTGAAAAAAAAAAGTAAAATTGCAGTATTTCACGAAAAAAAGTCTGGTTAATATAAGATTATGTAGGTACTGTTATTCTAAATGAATGTTAAAGCTTATTTATCCTTATGTGGTGTCACTTACTGTGGCATGACTCTTTTCCTGAATTTGCAAGAGAATACTATAAAAAAATAAGCATATTCATAGTAGAAGATAGAAGTGTGCAGACATGCTAAGAACAATATAAATCTATTAGCATCGTCTGGTGGAATAGCCACTTTGAGAAATGTATATTAAAATGATTAATAGATGGACACCAAATTCGTGCTGAAAAAGCGTCTGGTATACAAATTAGATAAATTAATCTACTATTTCTCCAAGTGATTTGGTATAAAACGACCCCTAGCGTCAGAAACAAGTGTACTTAGATTTGTGAAGGGTTAATAATCGGCCGATTCAAATTATTGACGTAAAAAATATATTTTTTTCAGTACTAAAATTGTTATTGTTTAAACAACTGTTATTTTGATATTTGTATCATAATACACGTTAAAGAATTTATTAACCGATTATATGATATCACGTCTCTCTTCTATTAAGAGAGGAAGAATATTTATCAGTAATGCTGTACTTAGTGAATGCAAAATTGATAAAATATAAAAAGAAAAATAATGGTTTAAATCTGGTATTAAAGTTGATCCTAATTTTACAATAATACGGATAGTGTATCAGTTTTTACAGAGCACTTCCAGTTCACCTTATTGCAAGATGAATAGCTAAAGCTCCCGTATAATGGAGTATCTGAGACAACAAAGGTACAACCCAGACCGGAGACAATGTAGAAAAAAAATCTACATTGACCCGACCGGGAATCGAACCCGGCCCTTAGAGATGGCGACACCTTGAAACTTACTACTTCCATATAGATTCTTATACTTTTAGTCTGTATGCAACCTGTATACATGACCGTGAATTATCAGAGGTGGGTTTATCTTAGTATTTTTAATCGGGTAGAAATAAAAAAGATATTTTATATGAGTGCATGGTGCACATTTTAATTTTTTTTTGAACACTTTCACTGACATAGCATTGTATCGTTATTTCAAAATATTTCTAGCAATGTAACAACTTCAATATGGAAAGTTAATCAGAAAAATATAGGATATCTAAAATATATACCTGACAACGGATATATGTTGCAACGTTTAAACGTGATTCTACTTGTACCTATTTATATTGCAACATACCGTGAGGGCGCTTGTGCACTACACTGAATTTTCACTATTTTTTCACTGGTCCGGAATGACATGAAAAACCCGGATGAGTAGCTTGTGCACTTGTCCGTTTTTTTCCTGATCGGAGCGGCGCAGTGTAGGGCAGCTCACTTTGCAGCTCGCTACACGTCACTTACGCTAGGTACGATGAGATTTTTGGAACGTCGGTAATTGCATTCGAAAACGTAGAAAGGTACCTAAATAATAACCTGACTGGGCCATTTTACATAAACCACATTGAATTGAGGCAAGGACGAAAGCATTTTATTTACTACTATCAGATGACTACTATCAGATGTAAAAACTTATACCCTTACTAATTTAGGAACAGCATTATTCACATACAATAGCTAAAAATATCTGTGCAATTCGAATAAAATTACTGATTATGTTGTCGTACTTGATGTACAAATTTATAATCATGCAAATTTTCTTCGAAGTTTTGTCCAATCGTTGATGCCGTTTCGTAAACAAAATGAAATTAGTGCCGTGTAAGCGGAGAATTAATATGTTAAATGAACTTTACGGTGGCATTTAAATCGGCCATCCTTTTTTTAGCAAGTTTTAAATGTCTTGATTTAACTATTATCATTGTAAGATCAGTAGGCTACATTATATATATATATATATATATACTTAATAGCTTTTATTTTATACGTGTGGTATAAGTTTCTTTGAGCAGAATTCTTTTTCTTTTTGAATACTTCTGTTATCAAATTTTTATATATACTTATCAATTGCCTGAAAACCAATTTTGATATAAAGCGGAAATTGTTTTTCGTGTTGTTAGTTAAGTGTTTTTTTTTTTGCCAGTATGTTTTTTTCAATTTATTTCAATTTATATTATAAAATCAACATTTTCTAGTAATTTTTCGAATCTTAGCTCTACGTCGTTATTTTATAATAAAATACGTCCTAATTTTCTTTATTATAATAATAAAAGTATATTATAAAGAGATAAAACTAGTTCAATATAGACTTTATGTGCTGTTTGTCAGCAGTGCATCTAGCATTGGAATTTGCAGTAAGCATGTTAATTTTATGAGTGCAGTGCAGTGTCCTTTTTAAGAGTTGTTACAATGCTAAAATCCGTAGTACAACTATTTTTATGATAGAAATCAAACAATTTATTTATAAGACGCTTATAAATAACCATGTTACAACAAGTAATCTAATTCATATCTAAGGAAATGGTTATTAGGATCGTTTTGTATTCTAGGATAGCCAGCGACCAATGCATCTTGCCCTCCTATATATAGGGTGTTGTAAATCTTCCAGTAAACATCACGGACTTTTCTTGCTGGATGAAATAATCCCTGAAAACAAACAAAACACGATTTTATTTACATTAATTAATAACACTTGAAACACATTGGAACAGTATCGCATTTAGTTATTTGTTGGTGTGTGCAGTCTATAGTTTATCCGAAACGGCACTGTGAAATTTATCGAATTTCTTATTGAAAGAGGATCGCTACTGACAATAATTTTCATATATTTGTGCGATTAAAAGTTACATCTATAGATGAGCACAGACCACAGCGTTTCTATGTAATGTAACAATTCTGCAATCACTGGTGTACATAAGTTTTTATTTGTAATATTCCTTCTATTTTGTATACGAAATATGTAAAATGTGTTTACTTAGTGTAAATTACACAAATTCGCAATTTGTAAAAACAAACTTTTTAAAGAAATATACCTGTAACGCGTACTGCAATATCTTGACCGGTCCGAGAGCCACCCGCATGCCTTCCACCGCATCCATGAAGGCCTGCACCAGATGTGGGGAGGTCTCGAATATGTTTGGCCACACGTGATTTAGGAGGTGAACGAGTGCGTCCTCGCATCCGAACCCGTATACGCCCAGAGCCATGTGTTTTATAGCAGCGCATGCCGTTTGACGATGAACCAAGTCTCTGTTGAGTATAAAAACAGATATCAGATGCTGGTTTCAGGATATCGTCAGCCCTTGATCTAATGTAGGGAATTATCTTTTCTATAATATCTCAGGTCTTGGTGTTGTGGTAACTTCGTTGTCTCAAATACTCCAAAATACAAGGGCTTTAGCTACCTATCTTAGAATATGGGTAATGTAAGTGATAGAGTCCACCAAATTACTATTTACAGATGATTTCTTTGAAAACTTTACGATATTAAAGATTTATAATATCTCACTCAACATTATTTTCTTTCGGCAAGCGATTATAAATCGGTTTATATAAATAGATAAAACCATACCTGTCCATGAGGGCGTCCTCAAGCAATGGGCAAACAGCGTAGATATAGTCTTTTCCCATTTCTCCGATGTATTCAAATAAGAAAGATAAAGATTTTAACACTCCGTTTTGAACATTCAATTCTGGTACTCTGTATTCATTCATCAGTGCCGGTAGTACTGTGAAAGGGGAACACGTTTCGGCAACAATGGCGATAGCCACAGTGGTGCAAACTCTGAAAAAAAAGGGATAAATTAAGTAAATAATACTGGTACCACCAATACGTTAGTAGATGTGAGTGGCCTTACGCCGCAAAGAATGGATTTATGTTGAAAAATTTTGCAAAACCCCAATGTGCACGTCGCATACTTTTATTTTATGAAACTGATCAAATATGAGGCAAAATAAATTAGGGTAGATAGATAATTATGATTTCCTTACACTTTGTGATTAACTTTAAATAAAAAGACTGAGATTTCAAAAGAAAAAGTACTCGCAAGGAGGGTTTCGCAAAATATGCAGAACCCACATTACAAGGGTTATGCGCCACCGCTAAATACTATACCCTATTCATTATATATTATCAGAGTAATACAAGATCTAACCTGTTTTGTCGTTCTTGTACTTTTAAATTGTTAAGAAGTGTTGCCAATACGTCGTGAGGACCGATTGCCTTAGCTATATAACCGAAAGTGTTCACAGTTGCTCTTCTAATAGCTTTCTTGTGCGCCTTCAGAAGCTCCAACAGTTCGAAACATATTCTCATCCATTCACGCGCCGACACAAACTCTGGACCTCTGTCTGCGATACGTCCCACCAAATCGATACAATTTTCTTGTACTTTTTCGTGTCTATAATAAAATTTTCAACAATTATAAAAAAACATATTAGCAAATCACATGAATTTCTTTTACGAAAATTAGAAAAATTACTACAGAAAATGCCCATTTTACAAAATTAATAAAAACAATTGGTTAATAAAAATAAAAATTAATTTGTTACTCTTATCAAGTGGGACTATATTTGTATTAATAATTAATTAATGAAATTCAAATGTTCATGATACCTGTTTTTGAGAATAGGTGTGAGTCTGGGTAATAAATCCTTTATAGGTGGCGTCATTTTTGTCATACCGATTACGTTTACAATAGCTTTCAAAGCACCCAAGATTGAGCCAAGTACTTCTGGATATTCTTCGCCCAGATACTCATACAATACGACACCCAGGTGACCCATCAATTTTTCCTGAAAATATAAAAATAAATAATGAATGCGAAAATATAAAGGTAATATGAAATCATATTTACAAAAGCTTAATTCTGAATGTAACTGATAATACAAAAAACTAACAATATTATCTGCAATACACAAAACAACAATAAGAAGTAATTATAATTTTCTTTCCTTACCTCTTGACAAGTCTTCATGACTACAGCAATTCTAGAAATCAAATCTGCTGCTTGTTGTCGCACTTTAGCCGATTTATTGTTCATACGCCATAAAATAATACCACAAATCTGTGGCAGGTATGGTTTCACACGTTTACCGAGCTGATTGACTATTGTACCAAACCCATTCAACATCACAACATCCTGAAAAATAAAGGAAAAATTAGAGAATCACTTCTAAGCACTCTTAAATGAAACCTAACTTAAAATAATACTTACTTCGGTGGTCTGTTCCTGGAATGCGTATAAAATGCCGTCAATGAGAGCTTCTTCTAACTTCGAATCGATATCAGCGGCGCCCAAGTTAGCGAGTATTTTTTCAATGGACTCCATCACCATTTTTCTATATTGCTCATTGTCATCTTTGAGATCATCCACTATTCTGTTTATTATTTCTGATGCGCCAACCTGTGCAAAAAGTGAATTATTCAATGTAACAGAAATAACAGTTACTATCAAAATAGCTGTATTCCTGCGACTTCGCCAGCGTATAATTATCGCCTGGCGACCCTCGCATGATGCCTAGTTCCCTCGTGGGATGAAGTTTTAATTTTAAAAATAGGTCTAGCACTTTCAGGGTCTAGTCAATGCAAATAACCAAACCTATAGTAGTAAAGATATAGGATCCATAACACTGACTTTAGTTTCATTCATAAAACCCTGCCTCTATCAGCCGCGTACGTCGTCCAATTTTCATTTCGTGCTAAATCACTTACTCCACCAAATGACCGAGAAGGGATTAGTAAGTAGTTTCACTCAACATGGATGAACAATCTTTACATTAATACAATTTTATTATAGTTTCATTTTGAAATAAATAGAAAAACTGGTACTTAAAACAATAATGAAAGAATAATAGTGGTTTGGTCGTACTCATGTAAACTTTCAATCATTGTTATTGATAAGTGAAAGAAAAAAACAAATAGTTTACAAACTTTTAATATTTTTTTATAGATTTCTTACCTTATTTGCAATTTCAACGGTAGTGTCGACCAATTGGCGATAATTGCGCCGGTCGAGAGCCATGCGGTGATTCCAGAAATGTTTGAAGAAGTGCGGCAAGATTTCGTCCATTATGTATTGTGGTTCGACACCATCAGTACCGCAACACTGTTTCACTACCTGAAATATTATAATGCAATACAAAATCGTTACAATAGAGCCATGTTTATAAATTGCACCAATACGCCTGTGCAAAAATTTCATTTATGAAATTTTGGCAATACCTATCCTATATTAATTTGATTTTGATTAACATTCAAAATTATTAAATTTGATCAATATTGCATTCACAATGTTATACTGAAAATAAATTCAATGAAAGATGCTTAAAAAATCAATCAGAGTGCTAGGGACAAAGTAGATTTTCAATATCTTTATTGTATCCATAAGTTTTAAATGGGTTATTAGGTTTTGACGCTGTTCAAGGCACAACAATAATGGAAAGCAGGAATAGATAAAGATTAAAATATATATATATTTTTAATTTTACTTTTTTGTTATGACATCTCACGTATAAGCCTTAATGTCATGTATTGAGCAAAATTTTCAGGGATTCTGGTACTCATATGCCATCCACTTAAGCTTACTTTCTTTTCCATAGCATAAATTTGCCGATGCTTTTTATATAACCGTTGTAATATGCCACACATAATGCATTGTTGTTACCAAGTTAAATAAAAATAACATATAGTAGGCTAACTTTTTGGAATAGTTTATATATATTAATTCAAAATAATATCTACCTTCAATACAATCTTTTTCATTTCTTCGTCTGGAGATTGAAACTCACGAATAAGAATCAACATCACTTCACGCGTATAGTAATTTGCATATTCGGCGTCCATGAGAGGGATGAGGTAACCAATAGCTTTCAGGAAGGCAGCCAAACCTTTACCACGATGAGTACGGATACCCTTCCAAAGAGGTTTCAACACTGAATCAAACGATTCAATACCATACGGTGTAGCAGCTTCAGCCAAGGCTGCACTAGCTAAAGCAGTGATTGTGCGCACTTTTTGCTGTTCGTCAACCAAACCTAAAAAAAAAAACATTTTCAGCAATAAAGTTTATAAACAAACTTAAAAATTCATAAATAAGAAAAACATAAAAAAATAACATACCGTGTTCAATAATTTCCACCAAGGATTTGAGATGTGGTAAAATAGCACAACCCATCAAAATAGCAATTTGCTGCACAATTTTGATACCAGTATGTCTCGCTTGCCATGATTTCTTAGATCTACATACAGCCTTCAAAAACGGGAGTAGTGAAGGAATACCTGTAAATATATATTTCTATGTAATATATAGTTATAATTTGCAATGAACTTCAGATTTATTCATAGTACATACCTAACGCAGATGCGACCACAGCAAAAGCTCTAGCGGTGGTGTTTCGGACATACTCATCGATGTTATCAATATCAGGTCTCATGGTGGAAATCATGGTAGCTAAACCAGCTGCTTTAGCCAAGTTCGAAATGATCTCACGACCTTCCACACGGGCATAGTAATCTTCGTCAATCAGGAGAGGTTCTATTACAACCAAGATCTGAAGAAAAATTTTAAGATATTAATGTTGATAAATAGTTAAAACTAAGTAAACTTAGAATATATTTTTTTGGTCTTGTGTCCCTGTAAATGTGTAATAAAGTTTCTAGTCTATTCTATATCTGAACATTATTTACCTTATGTACATAAGGTCGCACTAAGTCGTCCAATTTATAAAGAATTCTGTCGATAACTTTGACGAGCAAATGGCGCTCTTGATCTTCTAGTGTCGGGCTCATGAGCAACGGCAGGATCTGATTAAACAGAGGCCCAGCACCAAACTCTCGAGCTTTATCGGTTATTTGACGCAATGCAGCTTTGCACATAGGTGGAGTGCCATTCTGAAAAAAAAAAAAAACAAATATGAATCTCAAACATATGTGAGAAAATATTTTTTATATTAATGTTACGGCTACTAGAGATGAAGGAAATTCAATTTTCAATAATTAAAGTTAGCCCTATAATATAAATAAAATACATAATTAAAGTTAACCCTGTAATATATCAAAGTCGGCTTATTAATTTTCCTCTGTAGGAACACATTCTTTCGTGGATTGAATAACAAATATCTCACTGGACTTGATGACTCTAGCTCCTTCCTGCTTCGGGAGACACGTCAAATTGTTCGTCCCGATTATATGTTAACGCCGTTAGTACACCGACTGAGAATCGCATACTCAGTCCCCAGTATGGAGGTCAAGCGCAAAAACACCTGGTGGCGGCGCGAAACAATTCTAGCGATTGCTGGATGTGTTTTTTCCAATAAATAAAGTCAAGTCTTTATGGCTTTATGACAGTTAAGTCTAGTTTCTATATTAAAATTAAGTTATTCGATAATTATAAACTATTTAAAAAGCACCTTTAATATGTGTTACGATATTTCGTACTTTACATTTCCGCGCCGCCAACAGGTGTTCCAGCACCTGACCTCCTCACTGGATACTGTATGATGTATAATGTGTACACATAAGTTAATTCACTCATAAATGATATCTCAGAAAGTGTACCTTTATTTTAAGTAAAAGTTTCATGATTTTCCTCTCTTTCAATTCTTCGGGGGACAGCGAGTCCTCATCGACGTCGACGAGCAGTTTGTCAAAGTACTGAGCGTCCTCGGGCTTCATGAATGGCAGTTGCTGGGCCCCCTTAGGCTGCGGCTCGAGGAGTCTCGCGGCGGCGGCGGCGGAGCCCCCCACTTCCTCCGTCTGCATGAAAAAGCCGATAGGGGTACCAGCCAACGGTGTAGGCGTGGCGGTCAGCTTACGAGCCGGCGTCCGAATCGGAACGTAACCTGGTCAACAATGTCACACATTAACTTATGCGCTCTAGTGTCGCCAACATTGTATTTAAAACCCCTCTCACACGGAACTACTCAAAAGCAACATAACTAATAACATATCAAAATTATTGAGAAAATATTACACTCTTAATGTTACTCTTAGTTTCTGCTCGCAAAAGCACCTGTAGTACCAATTTACCAATGAATGTAACTAGTTGAGAAGAACTGCATATGTTTATAACACGTAAATGACTAATTCGAACCCCCTATGTGAATGTATTAGTATTATTCTGTTCTTTTTGAAGTGCTGCGTGTGAGAAAGGGCTAAGCATGCGATGATAACGAATTTGATTTATCAGCGAACGAGTACGCTTTAAAAGCTCAATGTGGCACCGACGGAACGAGACCGTATAGCCTTATTGTCATCAATCTGAAAGAAAAAGTGTGCATTAAAATATTTGTCTAATGTTAAATTCGACAACACATGTATCATTTTTTGTATCTTTCGTTGCATCGTAGGATATCCGCAGTGAAGGCTTTGTTTAATACATGTGTCCTGAAACTAAAGTTGAGATTAATAACTATGTTGTACTTCCATGTGTCTTAAGTATTTCATTAGCATAACAAAATCATTGTATAAATTAGCATGTGTTATGGGGTCATTAAAAAAGTACGTACCGGCCGGTGGTGGTAAAACCTTGTACCCGGGTGGGAACATGGCATCGAGCTCTTCGTCTGTATAAGGTCTGTTGCGTTCATCTATTTCTTTTTCCCAGCGGTAAGCTTGCAGCTGTTCTGGAGTCATGGCGGCGACGTGACCAGGTGTCGGAGTGGCGAGAGCCATGGCTTTAACTCCAACAGGGGTGGACTATATAAAAGGAGTTAATTATAAGTAAAAATTGACAAGCAACTGTCTAAACTCAAAAAATAATATATGAATTAATTTGGACGATTATTTTTTTAAAGCCAAGTTTAATTTGTTGTAATATACTCACTCCTCCTGGCGTAAAGACAGGTGTATGAGGCGTGGGTGTAGCATGTGATGGTGTGGCGTGCGATGGCGTGGCGTGAGATGGTGTGGCGTGCGATGGCGTGGGAGTGGCGGCTGCGGGGGTGGCGCCGGGCGTTTCGTCCCATCGAGACCGTCTCTTGGTTCCCGGCGTTGGGGTTTCTTGTATTGTGTCGACACCAGTACCGCGGTCCGTACGGGGTGTTTCAGCCCAACCGCTGTTGTGACCCGGTGTTTCTACAAATATTAGCTATACTGAGAACAGCACTTAAAAATTTACTCAATATAGTTAGCCTAAATTAAGTTATATGGTACGAAATTATATAATTATATTCAAAATGAAACTGCATTATTGCACAAAATAGTGTAATTATCAGTGGTCGGAATTAGGTAGAGTTATTCATGTACTTACACTAATTTCATACAGTGAAAGAATAAAGTGGATATGCCTCAAATCCCGAGATTAATTTAAAAGAGCAGAAAAAATCCCGTGATTTTTTAAATAAAAAGTTATTTACTTTTACACAATTTAAACAAAAGTATTCTCTCGTATTTATAAAAAAGGCGAAATATGCGTATGAGAATTTGCTTAAGACTATCAATAATTTGTATTGTAAATTAATAAAAATTTTATGTTAATTATGTTTGTTTTATTTGTCTATCTCTGACGTTGTTATTATTATTTAGTTGTAAGATTGTTGGCCACACGGGATTGTCCATTAGAAATCCCGGGAAGGTCCACATTAATATCAACATTTTGATGAAAGTACATAAATAACTTCCTAATTCCGACCTCTGGTAATTATAATTTAAACAACGGAATCATTTTTTACTGTGATAGAGACAGCCTGAATTCGATTCTGGCGAATCCAATCGGCCTTATCTTGCTGACGAAAGTGTGTTCACATAATAAGAGACCACTGGTTATCGCTTACGAAATTTGCTATATAATTTAAAACTTACCTCTATCAGTTTTAGGTGTTTCATCCCAACGATTACGTCTGGATGTGTGTTGAGCGGGTGTTTCCCTCCCTGGAGTGGCGTGTCCGGGAGTGATATGTCCTGGAGTGGCATCCCATACTCGTGCCGAGGGCGTAGCACCTGGAGTTTCACCACCACGACCGCCCGCTCCTGGAGTTTCTTCCCAAGCTCCTCTCTTTAAAAAATATTCGATTTCTATTTCTATAGTGTACAAAAATTGGGGCTTTGATACTGTGGCTTTTGATGTTTTTACACTTTAGGCTAATATTATATTACTAAATAAATTTTAATTATGAAAAAAGCTTAAACTTTTTGCAAGTTCGTAAAAACCTTTGCAAAACCACATCAAAAATCATGTGTATTAATATAAATTATAATGTTATATTGTATTTGCAGTAAACAAATTATAAAAACAAAACACAGGCACTTGAAGCCTGAGATAGGTTAATACAGTATTTATCAAATATTATACTCTAGATTTTATTCCTATTTTTATGGAAGTTACAACAAATAATTTGCAGGGCATAATTAACAATCATTTCTATTACCTCATTGTCCCAGGATGGCGTAGCTTGTGAACTAGGAGTAGCAGAAACTGTTTTCTTGGCCACTGGAGTCTCATCTGTACTCTGATCCCAGCGACCTTTACGTTTAGCAGCAGCTTTTGGCGCTTCACCATTTGATTGTGAAACTGGCTTCAATGTCCCTTCCCTAGCTCTTTCTAAAAGCTTTTTACGTAGCTAAAATAAAATATTTACATGTTTTTTAACATTCTTAGAATTACAAATATTATAATTACACATATGTAACAAAAGGTCTTACATCCTACTGCCTACTTACCTCAGTTTCTTCAGCACGAAGATACTGTTCTTTCATAATCTCAGTATAAGTTCTAGAGCCAACATCTGGTGTTTTCCCACCTGTAAAAAAGACAGACATCTAAATTTCAACATCAAATTACATTAAGATGTTAATGATGTATTTTAATTTAGAATTATAATTACTTAATAATTTTAAAGTAAGTAATTAAATAAACTAAGATAACTTACCTTCAGCAAAAGGGTCATTACGTTCGGGGGATATAATCATCCTACGCCTAATTTGGCGATATTCATCTTCCCTATCTGCAATTGTCGGCCGCCTTTTATCAGCAAATGGATCATAATCCTTGTCACTCTGTAACAATAAAATATTTATTAACTGACAAATTAATAAAATTTTTGTTAAAACTTACTTAGTTAAATGGGCAATGTTAACATAGGGGACCTCAATTACCTTAAAGTTGCTATAAATATTGAATAGGGAAGACAACTAATTTTTATTGTTTGTCCTGCAGGTAGATTGTTGAATAATATTAAACAAGTATTTTTTCTATAATTATTAAATTACGGCTAATCTACAAAACTGTGACGTAGCGAGCCCCCACTCCTAAACTTAAATGCCTGTAATCTAAGCACTTCTTGTTAAATTGAAATAAAATAAATACGTATCCAGGCCCGTCATTACCCATAGTGCAGGAGGTGAAGTGGGATGGCGGTGCCTGAACACTACTTGCACCCGGGCGCCTGTTGTGCTATATAATATTTTTATATTGTCTGACTGACGGACGAAATAAAATTTTTATTTTTTTACCCCGTTATCACCCCTATTATATAATAATTGTACGATAAAGAATTAACGATTGCTAATCGCTAGTGTCTGACCGAATGTTCGGTTCGGCATTCGATAATTCTCGCGTGTTGATTGGTTGGTTTTTTTCGGTGCATTTAATTCCATCAATTCGACGACGAAGACATTCACCGCGTCTTAATAGCTGATTATTTCATGATTGGCTTGTGTTAGCAATTCATTTTGATTCTTGTGAGTTTTGGTGTAATTTATTTTGAATTCGGTAAGTTTTGTTTTATCCAACTCGATTTATACTCCCTTTGTGAACTTCTAACAGTCCGCAAATTGTATATATTAAATATTATTCTCAAATTACATAAGACCCTTGTATACAACCCTGTATCTGATAATAGAAGGAGAAATAAAAATGTAGTAACAAATATAACCGTAAAAACAGCATACGCTGGACGGCAACAATCAAGCCAGTCAACTTATTTATACGAGGGTCAAACTGAAAGTTCTTAGAACTGGTCACTTATAAACAATATAATAAAAAAATAATTCTAAAATTTGAAAATATAACTCTTTGCCAATATTACTGAGTATATATTTCATTCATTTGTCATTTGTTTTACGATTTGGCGGCAAATTGAAAATTTTCTGTGTCACGTCATCATGAATTTAACACGAGAAAATTTTCGTGCAATGATTTTTTATGACTTTCGATGTCATTTAAGTCAACAAGAAAGTTATGATAGACTACGATTGGCCTTTCACGATGAAGCCCCATCTCGTGCGACTGTTTACAACTGGTTTAATGAGTTTAAACGTGGTCGCACTAATCTCACTGATGATTTACGTGAGGGACGGCCTTCTACGGCGACGACTGAAGATAACATCTGTGTTGTGCGGCGTATGATAGAGACTGACAAAAGAGTGACCTATCAACAGATTCGGACAAGCTTAGGCATCGGTATGAGTCAAGTGCACAAAATCCTCCACGAACATTTAGCGGTCAGGAAGCTTTGCGCCCGGTGGATACCTCATAATTTGACTGAGGCTCAAAAACTCCATCGTGTGGATTGGTGTCGTAAAATGATTGAAAGATTTAACGGAGGTGACTCAAATGCTGTGTTCGACATACTAACAGGTGACGAAAGCTGGATTTACTGTTATGATCCTAAAACCAAAAGACAATCTGCTCAGTGGGTGTTTCCTTTCGAGGAGTTGCCAACTAAAGTGAAGAGAGATCGAAGTGCGGGAAAAAAAATGGTGGCCTCGTTCTTTGGAAGGATAGGTCATTTTGCAACAATTGTGTTAGAGGATCAAAAAACAGTTTCTGCAGAATGGTACACTACCAATTGTTTGCCACTTGTCTTGGAAAAAGTTCGAGAGAAACGACCTCGCAGTAGGATCCTCCTTCCCCACCCCACGACAACGCCTCGTCGCACACCGCCAAGCGAACGATCGACTATTTGGCGACATCAAACGTTGAATTACTGGGTCACCCGCCGTATAGCCCCGACCTCGCGCCTTGTGATTTTTATTTATTTCCAAAAATTAAAGAAAAACTTAAAGGAAAGCGGTTTATGAATGCTGAAGAAGCGGTGGCTGCGTATCGCGATGCCATTGAAGAGACCCCTAAGGACGAGTGGGCAAAGTGCTTTTCCCAGTGGTTCCATCGCATGCAGCGGTGTATTGACGTGAATGGACAATATTTTGAAAAGATATAATAAAACTAATAACTGGCTAATGTAATCAGTTTTTGATTTTCTAAGAACTTTCAGTTTGACCCTCGTATAATCACATAAACAGACAACTGAATATATATCCTAAAACCACCAAAGCATGTAAAACAGCCCTAGTTGAATGGCTTAAAAGCAAGGATTATAATGAAATTGAAAATCTTATAAAATAATTCTAAAATAAACAAGTACGCACGCACACAATTCACACACACAGTCACATACTCGCCACACACACGCACACACACAACAAAATTCATATTATATCTCTGAATTCATTTAATTTTTTCTTAAACTCTAAAAAAGATAGGATATTACTAAAAATAAAAAAGAATATTGTAAAGTCTAGCAACCTATGTAATGTAAAAAGGAAGAGCGAGGTCTCCTGAAACAGGTATGATAAATACTTAAAAGGGGACTTCATGGTATATTGTAAATTGTAAACTAAGCTGATGAATAAATATTTTTGATTTTGATTTTTGTCACATGATATAACAGAGAGTAGATAATAAACATCAAAAAATTATTCTATATAGTCTTATAACTAAAAAGCACACAGACCTCTGTTAATAGGGAAGTTCTATTCGAAGGACATTCGGTTCAAAGTCCACAATGTATATATAGTCTGATGTGCAGCCATGTGTACATAGACTTAAGTATAATCAAGTTTAAATAATAATAAATTAAAGATTAACCTATTTGGATTTTTTGTTAAATCTTTCGATAATGCTACACTTATACAAATATTACTTACCTGTAAAATAAAATTATTGAATAATGAATACTACTAAGTAATAATGATGACAGATACCCACTTGTAATTATTAGTATTTAATTGTTGCCTTTTGCAATGTCTGATCACTATAGGTTTATAATTTAGTAATTAAATGTTTGTTTCTTTTAAGTTAAATATACAAAATGATGAAATAAGCTAAGATGATTAATTACTTTGATAATAAAATATCATACATGTTGTGATATTAGGTAATCTTATGTTTAATATTTTTTTAAACCATAAATGATATTGAAAAGAAGAATCTACCTGAATAAATAGACACCTCTCCTACTTTAAGCATTGTTAAGGTGCAGTTTTTTTTTCTTAAATATGCCTTAAAAACTAATAGAAAATCAAGTGAAAAGGTTGGAACTCAAAGGACAATGCTCAAAATGTACAACAAAAAGAATGTTACTCATATTATAGGTATAAATGAGTAAGTAAGTCATCATCATCAAAATCGATGGGTAAATTTTGCTTTCACAGTAGGGAATATGCACATTTTTGGAAAATGTTTTTATATGATAATTTACATCAATATATAACTGTAAAAAAATACCCGGTATCGAAATACTAAAATTTTGTAAGATTTAATAATTGATGAAAATAAGTAATAGCTACGAGCAGTTTAAACACCGTATTTTTTGGCGCGCATGTCGTAACGTCAAAGTACACGACTAGATATGACATTTTAAATCAATATGGATTTTGAATGATTGATTATTATTCAGTTACCCAAATCAATTAACTACTAATCGATTTTTTAAAGTATAATAGACTTTTTTAATAAATCATATAATTTACCAAATTGGTGAAATAAAAATAAAAGCCTAAAACGTCATTTAAATTGTAATCAGTTGTGTATTTTATGACATAATACATTGATGTAATTGCATCGATGTTAACTTTTTGTAACAACGACATCCCTATATGTGTACATTTTCGTCACATCTGCTCTGACAAGTAGTATGGCGTTTAAATATTTTGAAGTTACCACATTTATTTTGCAAATTTTAATAATTATTTCCAAGACGAAAACAAACTAATGTTGAATAATATTTACATAGACTTTATTCTAAAGCAATAACGATTGTAATAAAATATATTTAACCCTTTTTTGAATCAGACGCATGTTCCCTATTACCACATTGGTTGGTCTTGATTAGTTCAGTCACTATCTCTCAGTATTACATAATTAAATGTTAAATCTAATGAGTTAAATGAGTGATATATGAAAAGTAAGTGAGCTGGTCTTATTAGTTAGATATGAAATGAACTGAAAATATCTGTATTTAAATAAGCACTTATGAATGGTCCAAAAAAAATTTTTCCCCTACTGTTTCAACATTTGTCAAGTCTAATTTTCTGAACAGCAAAAGTTGCAGAACTCAGTCTACCTAAAAAGTTATCAATATGAGGATCCCATTGCAGTTGCGAATCTAGTGTAATACCAAGAAACTTTGTTGATTCTACCAACTCAACTTTTTCACTATTTACATTTATAAGTGTACCTAACATGCCACACATTACAAAATTTATGTATTTGGTTTTATTTGAATTGAGCTTTAAGTTATTATTATCAAACCACTGTAGAACATTGTCGAGAGCATCATTTACATGGTTAAAACAATCTGTAATATAAAAAAAATTAATTTATTTACTGTGTTAATGGTTGCTATTAGAAAATTATTAGAAAATAATTAGTGTGAAAGTTGTGATATTAAAAATAATGTAAGTTTGCAAAGAAATTTGCCAAAAGGTAGGTCACTAACAAATTAAATAATTATAAGAAACTAGTATAAATTTTTTCAGGCGCCAGACCTACCTGGAAAACAAAGCCGGAGAGTTTGGAGTTTTAATCGCAAGGGGGGCTTGTAAATAACAAACAACAACTTTTACTCTTGGTTTGCCATATATTTGAATGAAACTTTTATATATTTTGAAATTAAAGTTAAGTTTATAATCTCTAGTCTTAGAGGTGATTGGAATTTTCGAACTATTAATAAAAAGGTTTTACATCACCAAATGAGCTGCTCCTTAATGCATCG